CATTCTCCTGCTAACATCCGTCTTTGTCCAGATTCTACGAGCCCGGCGTACCGGAGATCTCGGGAAACGGGGCTGGTGGAAGAACACCGTCCATAAAGTAGGACATTTGATAGGCAAGCGAGATCAGCCAATCAGCGGACAGGAGAGTGAAGACAACAGACCTGTAGTTATCCTGGCTGCCAAACAGCCCGCTCCCTAAAATTAAAGCGATGCTGTGACGTATCACTAGGGCGGCGAAAAAAATGGATTAAAGAAAATGCATTTTAAAGTGTTGTCTGCTCGCTATTTTGCTATTGTCGTTGTTTAAAAAAAAGTTGATGTTGTTACTATTGCAGTTACTGCTTTTGTTGTTATCGTTGTTATCGTTGTTGTTTGTTGTCTTCATTTTAGTTGTCCCCATTTGTATGGTTCGTGTTAAGTTTGTATATTGTCACATGACGTGTACTGTAAAAGAACCTATACAAAAAACGCCATCGTTCTTTTCACAAACAACTCATTTTGAACAGTCTGTACGTAAGAAAATGTCTGCTATTAATTGTCGCCCCTTTATCAGACTCAACAATTAGGGGATGCTGCTGTTTAGTGACCAAGTCTCTCGCAAAATGGACTGTATCTCAATTGGCGACGTCAAACGATAGGACATAAACTGCCTCCACTTCTTGCATCATTCACTAGTCATCCCACTACGCTTCTCATTCTCTGCAACTCTACCCCCCCCCCCCTAAAACAAGAGAGCAATTATGGACACCTCCCCAAAGAAGAATAACAGTATGGAATATACCACAACATTCGCTCCAGGGCCTTTTAAAAAATGTACTTTGTATTTGTTTTACGCCCCCATCAACACATATCTGATCATCTTGGAGGCAAGTCTTAACCGTGTCTGCCAGGGTGAACCCGGACTGAGACGTATACGATGTCCTGGCAAAAAGACCGAGATGCTCTATAAATAAAGGTTCTTCCCTGCGAAGAATCGAACTCAGATCTTCGGCTGGTGACGATGAAGTGCTCAACAACTACACCACACACCCACTCCAAGGAGAAAGTGAAAAGAAGACTTAATTCAAAATATCAGAACAGACTTTTGTATTTGAGGTGGTTTGCTGCATCGTTGTTTTTATCTTTACCAGTGGCACCAAGGGGATATTATTATCATATATCCCATTCAGGTTCGAAGTGGCTAGACATCTTCATGAACTAAATTGTGGGACAGATCATTTGTGGCGGTCATTTTGAGGTACATAATTTAGTCCCAACTTTAGACAATTTTAACAACGGCATTACTTCATTATCTATGATCCACGTCTTGTCGATTTCCTTACACGCATTAAACTAGATCTGGTAGAATCAGGAGGATTGGCGGGTGAGTGCACATGGTATCTGTTTAAATGACAACTAAGTTCCTCTGACAAAGAAACAATTTAGGAAGGGCATTTTTGAGTTCCAAAAATTACAGACCCCAGAATATGACTCAATGAATTTTCCCAGTGGTGCTCAGGGTGTCAATGATCTGTTAGCGGTCTTTATCGTAGAACTCAGCATACATGAGTTCAATTTCCGAGTAGCCAGGTTTAAAAAAATCAAGTATCTCAGTCTATCTGCTGGGAAATTGTAGCCCTCTCAGCCAGGGTTGGCTCTCGCTGGCAGGGTCAAAGCAGCCCACTATGACCCAAATTGTGCCCATAGGGAAATGAAACATTTATAACCGTTTTTGCTTTGGTAAGTGACGGAGCTCGCAACTGCATAAGGTCATATGAGCGCGCGGGACACATTAAACATTTTCAGTTGGTAGGAAATTTTGCCCGGGTGGCGACCGAAGCCTTCTCTTATCGATTTTAGACCACCAAGGGATCTTTAGCGTGCGCAACTTGCACACGAGTCCTCTGAGATTTTTCGCCCTTGTCTGAGAAGGATAGATGTAGATCTTTCCTACCAGAAGATCAGGGGTGTGACTGAAAGTCAGCAGTAAGAAGGAGCCAAGGAGTAGCAGTAGAAAGGCTGCAGAAAGACTCAGGAGCCCAGAGGAGGGGGCAAAGAGGTGAGGGGTGGGGGTAGAAAATGGGGACGAAAGTAGATGACAGAATATTGCTAGAGAGCAAGAAAGGAGGCGAAAGGAGATGATTTTAGAGAACAAAATTTTTCTGTCGCTACCCGGATTCGAACCCGGGACCTTTGAATGAGAGGCTAACACTTTAACCTCTAGACCACGAGAGCCGCCTCATTTATAACCAAAAGCCTCCCCTTGTACAATTAAGAAATTGGGATATTATTTCTACGAACAAAGGAAAGAGTCTGCTTTAAAGCAGAACACAATTTTCACTGAGCCTCAACCCACATCTTAAAGTCTCTTTAGAGAACACATTTTAAAGCAGGAGACAGCTCAACCTATTGTGCGTTTTGTAGAATAACTAATGGTTCTTTTAAAACAGCGAAAACGGTACTTCCCTCATGCTAAGAATGGGGTGAAAAACAAGGTAAACGTGTCTCAAATGTTGTTTTTTAAGGTTGGTTATGATCCTTATGTATTGAATGAGTTTGGGAGTCTGCACTTTTAAGAGAGAAGGTTTTTTTCTATTCCATTCTCTTCTTTTTTTATATTTTTGATAAGTGTTTTACGGCGCTCGCAACTGCATAAGGTCATATGAGCGGCGCGCGGGACACACCTAACTTTTTCAGTGGTAGGAAATTTTGAATTTTTCCCAGGTGGCGGCCGAAGCCTACTCTTATCGATTTTAGACCAACAAGAGATCTTTAATGTGTGAAACTTGTACACGAGACCTCCGAGATTTTTCCCCCTTGTCCGAGAAGGCTAGGTGTAGATCTTTCCAACCAGAAGATCAGGGGTGTGGCTGAAAGGCAGCAGTAAGAAGGAGCCAAGGAGACGCACTGGAAAGACTGTGCAAAGAGTCAGGAGCCCAGAGGAGGGGGCAAAGGAGGTGAAGGGGTGAGGGCAGACAGTGGAGACGAATGCAGACGACAGAAAATTGCTAGAGAGCAAGAAAGGAGGTAAAAGGAGATGATTTTAGAGAAGAAAATTTTTCTGTCGCTATCCGGATTCGAACATGGGACCTTCAAATGAGAGGCGAACACCTTAACCTCTAGGCCACGAGACTACTCTCTTCTGAAACATCCTCCTCTCATCGTGGTGCAGAGCCATCAAACGCCCTGCCTGCAGAATGACATTGCAGTATGTGATAGTTATGTGTATCAAAGTTTTATGCATCACAAACACATTCTAGATTATTCAAGTGGCTGGCAGCTTCAGCACAGGCTCAGTGGGACATACCGGCGTCTGTGGGGTAGCTGTTAGCCGCCTTGCTGTCTCATATAGAAGACCCTACTGCGATTCTCTAGTGGGACATTTTTTTTTAAAAATTGAGAATCTCGGTCCTTCTGATTTGATGTTGTGTCCCTCTCAGCCCGGGTTGGCCCTGACAAGCATGGTCTTAAGCACGCTTCCTAAATGATGTAAATTGTGACGGTGGAGTTGTAAAAATACCAACTTTTAAAAAATCGGTGGGATACAGCAATGAGGTTCCGGGCGAGCCATTTTGCTTATTTTGAGACGCTGATTCCGAATATGAAATCAGTTTTGAGATGCGATAATTATTTTTAGAATATTGTGCCCCATGTTTAATCCTGGCAAATTTTAAAGTGATTATACGTCAGAACCCGCAAGCCCCACGATCTTGACAGCAGGCACGATTAAGTCTGGGGCAGTTTTGTCCTAATGCGGTAGGCGGCTATATTTCTCTATAATCACAGACGATATTACCCCGGGACTGGGATAGTCCTGTCCCACCGATTTTGTAGAAATTCACAACTGCTCGGGACTCAAATCGACAAGAATGTCCCGTCCCAGTAAGTGCGGTACATTACAATCTAATTCAAAGGTGTCAAACTCCAGGCGGGTCTGTCCCGGGATAAACAGTCATAGTGCGGTAAAAGCCCCTTTTGGATTTTGAAACCTTTGAATCAGAGTATAATGTACCGCACCTATTACGACACGACATTTTTGGTGACATTTTTGGAATGCATTTTAAAATTTTGTTCTAGAGGTAAATGAGTGATACATTATATTTGTAGCAAATAAAACAATGTCAAAAAGTTTCCGATGTTTGTGCAGAGTACATGGTCATCCGCTCTGCATATCTGCGTTATACAACTTTGTAATTTTCACATTCCTGGGTTGAAACTCATTTAACAAACGAACAAATTAATGAAAACAAAGGGGAGCAATCACAGAAACAAAAGTAAAGCAATTAGAAAGCTATAACTATTTTATCCAGTAAACATGACAAAAGAACTCTGGTTATTTCTCAGTCTTTATTGCCTTCAATTCATTTTCGACGTAGCGATCAACACCAAAGTCCACAAGGTAATGTCCCTACAGTTGACAAAGTCAGTCGGTCGGAACTGTGGCTTTTACTCTGTTAGAAGAACCACAATAGGGTCTGTGGCTTGAACCTCAGAGTCGGCTTTCTGGTCTCTCTTGCCCAGCAAAGCTGCGCCAGCCCCACTGACTACGCCGTCGATGACGGAGTCGCGATGTTTGGTCCACCAGCTACGTTTTGCCATTTCGTCACGGGTCGTTTGTTTGGTCTTAGGGAAAGAGATAAAGAAGAATAAACGAAGAGGAGGTGGATTGGTTGTAAAAGTGCAACAATATAGAAAGAGTGGGCTGGGGAAAAGAAAGACAGACAGATAGACTTGAGAACCATTTACATCTAACATTTTTTTTGGGGGGGGGGCTATAACAAATTAAACACAGACACACAGACACACACATACACACACACACACACACACACACACACACACACACACACACACACACACACACACACACACACACACACACACACACACACATATATATATATATATATATATATATATATATATATATATATATATAACTAGCTGGGCCCCCTTTCGATGAAAGGAATGATCGGTGCATTAACATCAACTGAAAGTCATTGGCCTACTATATTTACACTCTACTGGAATGGAGCAATACATCTTGAGAGATACAAAAAATTAGAAGGTCTAGATCTCTACTCTCAAAACAAAATGCACCTCGCGAAATGTCACTGTCGGCACTTCTGCTGTGAAGGACAGCTATGCAGATTTGTTTCGTTTCTCAGTGGAATAATCACAAAGGCCAAAGGAGGTTGGGAACTTTTTGTCAAATATTTTTTTCTAAATCCAGGAAATGGGCTCTGTCATGGGGACCTATACATTTTTTTGGCAGGTACTTGCCAACTTCCAACTCTGTAGCTGTCGTAGTTTTATAGGAAAAATGACACATGTGTTTCCAAGTTGCAAAATATATAATAGATTTATATATATATAATATAAGGGTGTCCAAATGAAACTTGAAAATGTACTCACCCAATCATTGTGTTAAAGCTTTGCACTACAACCCACTCATGCAGCATACCCTTTTAAAGCTAAATAAATTATGCATCGGCTGACACATTCATATTTCATTTACGACAAGAGTTGCCCGAGAAATGTTCACTCCTTTACAAAAATCATACTTGGCAAAATTCTGCATCAGATGACACACTAATTTTTCATCTACGGTATATGGTCACTCATAAAAGACCGGGCCAAATCAGACTTGGCAAAATTGTCCGAAATCAGAGAAACGCAATGGTGTGTTCGCGCGTGTATTGAGGTGCATCAATATTGATAGAATGGGCATACGAGATTGCATATCAAATTAAATGCTTTAATTGAACTTATTTACCATCCAGTATTGAGGGCGATATCGATGTATACCAGAAACTTAAATTTATATATCCTAGACTGGGCACTGTCATGGTGCCACTCTTTGCTCTCCATTATGCAAAGCGTGTGCACCATGGGCGCACAACATGAAATAAAGAGTAAAGCACTTCTCTCGCTTTTGTAGAGTGCACCAGCATACTTTCTCTCCCATTTTTTTTTCTCTTGGTTGCAGGATATTATTATACAAGTCTATGGGATATACAATGGAGGTTGTCGAAAACGTCTCAAGTGTGGTGCTATACCAGAACAACAACAGGTTTGGGTACCTCGTCTCTCTTGCCGAGCAAAGCTGTAGTCGCCGCAGCTGTCGCTCCTTTGATGATCTCGTCTTCATGCTTGTGCCACCAGCTACGTTTTCTCAAGTCGCTGCGCTTAGCTCGCTGAAGCTGGGGGTGGGGGGTGGGTGGGGTTGGTGGATATATGATATTATATTGAGAATTATACAAAGACAAGAGAGAGAGAGAGAGAGAGAGAGTGAGAGAGAGGGAGAGAGAGAGAGAGAGAGAGAGAGAGAGAGAGAGAGAGAGAGGGGGGGGGGGGAGAAAGAGAGCGAGAAGAGCGAGAGAAGAGAGGAGAGATAGATATATAGATAGATAGAAAGAGAGAGAGAGAAAGAGAGAGAGAGAGAGAGAGAGAGAGAGAGAGAGAGAGAGAGAGAGAGAGAGAGAGAGGGGGGGGGGGAGAAGAGGGAGATTTTGTATGTTATTGTACTGAAGTAATGTATTGCTTGAAAAGTGACAATGATAGAAAAAGCATAATAATCATGTATAGTTTGACAATGGTCTCTTTAAATACAAAGCAAAATGGGTGAGCTCACAAGGGACCAGTTCTCGGACGTTAGCATTGAAACCAGATCAAATTAAAACCAAGCCTCTAAACAAAAACATTGAGGAACAAGGAACTGCCTTGGTAACAAGGTAATCCTTCTTTCTGACTTCATGACGTATGAACAAACGCACGTACGTATTTGTTTAAACCCGCGTCTGTGGTGTAGTGTATTAGCGCTTCTATGTCGCACGCAGGAGACACGATTTCGATTCCCGAGTGGGGAGGATTAAAAAAAAAAATCGAGTATCTCAGTCTTTCTGCTGGGATATATCCCTCTCAGCCTGGGTTGGCTCTCTAACAGGCAGGATCCGATTCCCGCGTAAAAGTGATTATTTTTTTACTATAAAAAACCCACCAACATAAAGAAAAAGATAGTATCTATTTAACTTAGCAAGCAATATGTGGGAGATTGGTGTAAGCTCTAGTGTGGTTTGCTCCTTCTTTCTTTTCAAACCTTTAATGTCCTTATCTTTCCTCCTTTTTGTGTTAGTTACTCTCTTGTTACACTTCTTGTCTTCGGAACTTATACAATCTAATTGTGGTGCATGTGCCGTAAAACGTTCTACCAAAACAAAACAGCAAGTAATACCCGAACGACAGAGTTGAGAGCCCGTTCGACATCGTCGTTTTCATCATCACCGAGGACGTAGATAGTGGGCACGTCATCATCGTCGTTTGTGGCATCGTCTGCTTGTGTGTTTGTCGGCTGTGATGACGTAAAGGTCAAGGTCACAGCAAACGACAGGAAGAGGAACACGAGGATTTTTGGAGAGTCCATGACCAGAATAGCTGTCTTCTTTCTCTGTGAGGAAGGAGAAGGCGTTGTGATAAATCGATGAGAGAAAAAAATAAAAATAATAATTGAAAACACACACGCTCGTAAACACACACACACA